TGATGAATATTTTTGTCATTTTTGGTAAAAAGTGATATTTTCGACTTTTTGTTAAAAACCACAAGTCTGATTGCTTTGATACTATACATATTGTTTAATTTCTAATGATATCTTCTGTTCTTTAATCGAAATGTGCATTGCTTGTGCAGATAAACATATATCTATAGAGGACATTGTTTTCACTTTAGACAGATTTCCAGTTTATAGAAGTGTTTGGTTTAAAGAGGTTTTTTATATAAACATTTTGACAGAGGACATTGTTTTCACTTTTGACAGATTACCAGTTTATAGAAGTGTTCGGTTTAAAGAGTTTTTTATATAAACATATCTATAGAGGACATTGTTTTCACTTTTGACATATTTCCAGTCTATAGAGGTGTTCGGTTTTAAGAGGTTTTTCATATAAACCTATCTATAGATGACATTGTGTTGATTTTAGACATATTTCCAGTTTATAAAGGTGTTCGGTTTAAAGAGGTTTTTTATATAAACATTTCTACAGAGGACACTGCATTGATTTTAAACAGATTTCCAGTTCATAGAGGTGTTCAGTTAAAGGAGGTTTTTCATATAAACATGTCTACAGTAGCATTGTGTTCACTTTAGGCAGGTTTCTAGTTTACAATTTAGGTATGTCTTATTGAATGCAAATTACCATACTTGTTCAGATACAATACTACTGTAAAAGGGTTAATTATTCTCTGTGTTTTAATTTTGCTTATTTCGCTGACTGGGAAATGCGATAAATTAAAACCCAGTGAAAATTAGTCATTTTACAGTGTACTATAGATATTATTATTTGATATAGATATTACTACTATCTTCTATACAACATGATATCGGTAACTATATATGCATTTTGAACTTGTCAGGAAAACAATGAGTTATTCTGTTGTTGGATTTAATTTAGCAAATTTTACTTATTAACAAATAAAATGAAATTAAAAATCAGCGAATAATTAATGTATTTACTGTACTGTACAGAATTAAAAAAAACACTCGGTAGATGCCTTTCATTTTCCACATTTGCACCCACAAATACCTGATGTATTGAGAGATAAATCAAATAATTACACATTGCTTTATATTTAACTAGTTCATCTGCATATTTTTTTATTCTTAGTGTATTCAAATAAAAAAGAAAAACAAAGAACTATTTGACTAGACCAAATTTAAAATCAAACCTAGCTGTGATTGTGTATTTAAAAAGACTTCTGCAATATATTTTCAATTTATTTATTTATTTGGCTAGTTTTAATGAATGGTTATATTCAGTTCAGGATTTTATCAATATTTTTCAATCACCTACTTTACAGTGAATTTCATGAAGGCATAAGTGTTTTAATGGCAATTCAGAAAATATTTCTTAATTATTACCTTTGAAGGCCCTCGCACTTCATTCAAATCTGAAGATAAGCTTTCCTTAATGAAGACATTTTGTAATTAATATTCATTACCCTTGAGTCTGTGCAAGTTTCCGTAAATAATTAGCTGATTTACTGCCATACATCTGTAAAATGTATTGTGATTGATCAAGTTGTTTTTAATTGTTATTTAGAATTAATGAAGAGATTATAAAATATTTTATATAAAATTTACTATATCTTCAGCAAACCAGATTTGTTTCTTTTCAAAACAAATTATGATTTAGTTATCATAGCCTTAAATCCAAATTGTACTTTAAATCCTGGCATAATCTGGCTAAGGGGTGGACCATTTTTAACTCGGGGGGGGGGGGTTGCTGAAAACAATGCAAAATATATTTTCCTGCACTTAGTTCTGTGCTATTTATTTTTACCATGATAAATTCGATGTAATTTGTTTATTTCTAATGTGTGTAATATTTTTTCTCTAAGAGATGTGACAGTAGTAAATGGCAGTGCAGAATTTGTTTCTGTTATTGATTTTTTTCATTGATTTTTTTCCTGTGCAATTTTTTTTTCCATTCTGCCATTGCCTCCCTAAGATTTTCTCAGGTTTAACTCCTAACTGTAATTTGGCTCAAGGTAGATGCACTTTGCTTACCTGACGCACACACATGTTATTACTATGTGGTAACCATAATATGTGAATAGATTATATCTTCA